CGCTCAAGTACAAAGCAGTTAAATATTTTCCATCATTTTTAAATGACCATTTGTGTTAAAATGTTCAGAACTAGCCTGAAATCGGTCTTTGATATCACACGTGAAGTTTGGGGTCAAAAGATTTAACTTTCCAGAGTTTGGGGGTTGGCCATGATAATTCGACAGTGCTCTAGGAGTGCCATCTTACTTGTTGCCATCTCATTGGTAGATAATCTAATCATTTCACTTGTACGATATCACAGTCCCATGATTAAATGTTTTGGATGTTTTCATCATGTAATAACTTAGCTTAGTCTCTGTATGTCTACTTTTTGTCTGTTTTATGTAGTCATCCAACAACAAAATACGGATTTCAAAAAGTCGGTTGGCATTTATGGAGCTCCATACAAAGCAACTGCAGATGATTTTTATCATTTTTGTCCAGTGAAGTGTTTAAATGTTGATGATTTGTATTGAGATTTTCAGGAATGATCTGATATCAGTCCCCAACATCATGAATAAAGTTTGGAGTGAAAAGATTGAACGGGTGTCGTTTTAGGGTGAAAAGGGTGAATGTAGGGTTTCGCCATAGTACCATGCAGTTACAGGATTTCCTATCATTTTCCTACACCTAGATAAGTGAAAATTGATCATTTGGGTTGAGATTTTTAGGAGTGATCTGAAATCAGTCTCAGACATCATGCGTCGAGACTTAGTTTAGGGGCAAAAATTTGATTGGGTCTGTTTTTAGGTTGGAAAAGGTTTTTTTAGTGTTTGACCATGTTATTGTACAGTTAGATGATTTCCTATCATTTTTCTTTGAATGGTTCTGTTTTAAAGGTGAAAAAGGTGTTTTAGGGTTTCGCCCTAAAATGATTTTTCAATATATTACTATTCTTAGATGTGTAAAACTTGATCAGTTGTGTTGTAATTTTCAGGAGTGCCCTGAAATCAGTGTCCAATATCACACGGCAAGCCTTGGGTTGAAGGATTAAACGTTTCCTGCAGTTTTAGGGTAAAAGGTCTTACTTTGGGTTTGACTATAATACAAGGCACTGAGATGATTTTTCAATTTTTTGCTTCAGTTTGATGTGTAAATATTAACCTCCCCCCATAAGTCTGAGCTTGAAATCACACATATGGGCATCACAAGTCAAGTTCGGGGTCAAAAGATTTAACAGGTCGGATTACTGTGAATGGTGCGCCGTGCGTGTACTGCATGGTCGAGTTGTCCCTGGTCAAACTGGTAAACTAAGGCGTTCGACATCCGTCACGTAAATCGTTGGAGCAAACGCCAGTGGCACTGCTTCTTTGCAGAAAATCATCCTCGCGCTCGAGATCTCTCCGGGTATTCTTTGGGAAGCGATCTTGATTCATTTAAAAAACACAGTGAACAATCTACCTGCATTCTCAATGCATATCATAAAATTTCGGGTCCATTTCAAAGAACAGAACCTTTATTTGCCTTCAGGGTATCATGTCGAATGTTGCATGGTAAAATCACAATAAAGGAAGGGGCGCACGACAACATCCGCATTATGTTTGTTAGACATGAGAACAGCTTTTTTTTCAAGAAAGGCTAATGAAGAGTGCAGTTGATCGATTGCCATTATCGCGTAACTGTTCTCGCCAAAAGTTGGGAAAAATTAGTTGTTTTACTAGGTAAACTCGGCTGTCATGTTTTATATTTAAAATGTAGCAAATTCAGGGGTTTGACATGACACATCTGGCACCAGGGTCAGTTTATCAAGGTCGAAGCCAAGGTAGGGCCACTCAAGCTCCTCAATGCACTGATACCTTATTACTGTCCCCGCCTTTGTGGGTGCATTCAACCACGGAGGTAGAAATAGGTCTATTTCTACCTCCATGATTCAACTGTGCAACTCGCATTTCTTGGTCAAAACTTGCACAGCATAGCATGGGTGAAAAGACCCATTTCAATGTAATGTGCATGATGAACATCATGCGCTGGGAACCAGAACCTGAAGCACAAACGTATCGAACTTTATCATCATAGCAAAATGTACTGTTGCAAGGAAGTGCTATCAATTTTTTGAACAAGTGCCCAGCGCTTGACAAAAAGCATGGAATGAAAGGTCGGGATAGCACTTGACTTTTTAACATGACCCTTCAGTCACCACTCGGAATCCAACACTACGTACATGTACGTTGGCCTTTCACCTCGTACAGGCTTGTGCGGTTAGCCTTCCTTAGCCCTGTTGGCACAAATCGCCACAAACTCAAGGTGATCAGCGACCACTAGTATTGCGTGGATCGTAAATAATGGATTTCGGTGAGCATGCCGTCGCGCCTCCGCCGCGCCAGGCCTAAGGCGCGCGACACAAATTGGCTTCCTTCCTGGCGGATATGTTGAGAACGGCGCAACATAAAAAAAAATTGAAGTCAAAAGAGGTGCCGGGTTGACGGCTACTTGAATATGATGTCAAGTTGGGATTTAAAAAACCTTCTTCTTCTATACAGAAGGTGATATTTGTGCACATTTACCAATGTGTTTGTAAGTTATATGGGAAATGTCCAAAAGCATTGAGAAAATGCAAGAAAGTTTTAAGTCCGTCCAAGAAGTCCTGTTAATTGGCCACTTCGCAGCGACGACGTGACTAGGAATCGTGTAGAAGCCCAAAGTCCAAACCCGATACCCTAGCCGTTAGCGGCTATAATTTGTGTGGCTGCAGTGGACTGGAAATACTGTTTATTATTAAGGATGGATGAAGATGGATACGTTCCATCCATGTTTTTCGTCTTCCGATTTCCCGCTGTCCACTGTAGCCGATGATTACAGCCTCATTCCAGTCATAATAATGGTCGAGGTATCAAACAGCCTCTCTCGACCGGCGCCACCAGCACCATCCTGCGTCGTGCCAACTCCACAAAAACAGGAGAACTTTATTTCATAACGACACAAGAAGAAGGGACGACAGAAAATGTCTTCATACCACCGGGGACAGCTTTGTTTACGTATTTTTTATTCTTATGCCACATGTCCCGAAAGGAAAATCTTCGGATCCAGCTGCCTATAGGCCTCTAATCCATGCTGTAGGATAACTGGATTTTAAAAACACATTTTGCTTCATATACTTTTGTCCGATAGCCAGATATGGTCAACCACAGTTTTAGCTTCAGACCACCACGTTGGGAAATATAATGGCTGAGATGTCGAAAGAGCAAACATCAAGACGATGGTATTTGACGGCTGAAAATGAGAATTGGCCGTTCAATTGTTTATTGTGCTTAGCTATTTGTTATGGTTATTTTAAAGCGGCACAACTCTCGTGTGTTAATAGTGTGGTATTGCATTGTATAAACTATGGTATTGCTTTGCTTTCCCTAGTTATAGACTCACTGCAGTTTTTTGTCTTTTCACTGAATAAAACGAGGCAGGCCTAACTGATTGCGATGTCCAACTTTGGGAAACGTCACGGTTAATGAAAAACCTTCAATTTTATTGGTTCAAAAACACTGTATACGTGTACGTATTCCTGAATAAGTAAATAAACCAATTGTGGGTTGTAAACTGACAATTACGAGAACTATCTCTGCAGGACTACACAGTGGCGTATCCAGCTTTTGGTGTAAGGGGCAAATTAAAAAGCGAATGCTGCTTAGGGGTCATTCAAAATGGTGTTGGGGAAGCAAAGAATAACAAAGAATCCAAAGCTGAAAGGCCTACTTTTGGCCTCCAGATCCTTGCTTTTTTGTAGTGTTGTTTTCGAAGGGTTTTGGTGCTAACATTTGATAAATAAGTGTACCGATTCCTGAGGCTCACCTGTGAAGTATCATGCATTAATAAACAAAACAGACAAACAAAACATTGGGTGGAGTTGCCGCCACTCATGGATATGCCACTGTTACTACAAGAATAAAAACCAAAACAAAACGTATTCACGTTGGTTGTTATGAGATCCACAACTAGAGCTTAAACATTCGTAAAATCGTGTCAGGACTACAGCGTCCTCAGGTCATATAATGTTTGATCATAATCGAACAGTAACCCATCCCCTTTTTGTTTGCTAACCCTCCCCGTTATGATTAATCCAAGGTATATCGTTTGTTTAGTTTGCGTTGGCGCTTGCCGTTGGCTGGCTGAAACTTCTTTTTGGCCACGGGGCTTCCTGGCACGTAGCCTCTCCATGCCTTCCTGTTCCTGAAACATAAATTTAAGAACAAACTCTTTGCAATGTCGCTCTATAGACTGACAGACAGACCACGTGCGTTAAAAGTGTCGGGAGTGCATACACGGGGAAGGGAAAAAGCAAAAAATAAATCAACATCGATGCATGCAAATACATTTTATGAAACTGGGCTCTGGTACTGAACACAACAAACTCTTCCATGCTATCTCTTGAAAGAATCGTTTGGATCGTTTCCCCGCAGTGCACCCAACAGGAATCACTTCTGTACTGTGAAGAGTGATGACGCGCGGTTATCTCAATTGTTGCGTTGCCCCTGGCCTGATCTAGGTCTTTGGTGGTTGGGGACCTAGTTAATCAATCACCAACCCCTGATGTTGTGCATGCGTTACTGCGCAAACTTTACTTCTGCATTTCTCAGCATTTTTATTCTTCTTCATTTGATTTACTGAGCAACAAATCCAAGCGTACATATATATTTCGCGCCAAATAAACCACCATCGCTTCTTGGTGCACTCACTTCTAACATTTCACAAATAGTGTTTCATAAATAGTGTTGCAACACCCAAAATGTGTGCATATGAACCTACTTGGCCATTGCGTATTCTTCATGTTGGTCGCCGACTTCTGCTTCCCCTTCCTCTGCCTCGGCAATGCCGTCTGACTCAATATCCTCCACCACATTGAAGAAACCCTCCCCCAGCTCACTGTTTTCTTGTCCTACATTTCTCCTTTCTGTTTGTGGATCCTCCATCGTGGCCTCATTTGTCGTCATAACTCCGGCTGTTTCTGCATTGGGAGGCCTCAGTCCACCTTCGTCCATAGAAACATTTGTGTCCCTGTGGTATTTATTCATTTATTTATTTGTTTATGTTTTTGTAAATTACGACATAAATTGAATAAGCAGTGTATGTTACAATAAGTTTTTCTAAAATTATATAGACGTTATTGTGCAAACACCATGGCGCACCATCCCAGTTACACAAGCTTTTGTCGGCAAAGCAAATTAAACAGCAGATGATATGTTTTCATCCAGACGTATTTCGCGTTTAATCTTCAGAATAGTTCATAGTCTCTTAACTTATTTGGATCTTTTTTGTGTGGCTTTTGTATGACTTAGAGTCTAGTAGCTGGCCAAATTTCCAGCATACTTCCAGCGAGGTCCTATTTCTTTCTAAATTTAAAATGTATTCTATGACGACAACAAAGGGATAGTACTTTTTAAAATTCTGAACAGAAAAGGAAATGGTCGTTAGATGATACGGCAAAACTGTGCAAACTTAAATTCGTACCTCATCTGCAAAGCCCGAGCTTTCCGTCTGAAAGGAAAAAAAGGAACAGTGAAATATCAACGGCAGGTATGAAGCACGATTAAACCTTCCAAGTACGCCCTACAAGTACTCTCTAGTGAATAGCATAAAAACAAACCATGGAAACATTTTGAATCTTCATTTCGTGTCGGCCAGCATGCATGGGTGTCGAGTATATATAGCAGTTTTTCATTCAAAGCGCATCAACTATTCAATTTCAGAAAACAACTGGTATTTATACACATAATTTCCTGTTACTATTATAAGAAATTATACCAGAAACTTTTTACTTGAATACAAAAACAAACCTTTTCCGGTTCTCATAGGTGTGACGGTTTGCCACACACTCCCCAATGTCTTGCCTGATCCTCTCACGGCCAGTTAACGTGTTTGCAAGTCCCATTTCAAGGAGCACATGCTTCACGGCATGGCGAATCTTGGCGTCCCTTTTGCCTGTTACTCCGTACAAATCAACGGCCTCCCGGATCAGTGTCTAACAATTGAAAATTTATTTAAAATTTATTTTTTGCAATTTGAATTAATAAACAAAAAATAATTAAGAGGATTTAAATACAGCTTCATTTCACAGGATCAAAACTGTACGCTTACAAAAAGTGTATAAAAAATGCAACACATACCAAATACATGCGCCTCGCCGGGGTAGTTTTTATTCGTTTTTTTTTTTTCTTTGGTGTTGGCACCTTCCTGGCCGGTGTGCTGTGACTGGTTGGTTGGGTTGGGAGAACAGATTCCTGATCAAACGAGCAGTCTCTGAGACTTGATGAAGGAGCAACTGGCTCATGACGCAGGTTGAGGACATTCAAGGAGTCCACGATGCAGCGGCTGATCAGATGGTTAAACGAGTTATCTGCCATTTTTGTTTATCGTGTATGCTCTGAAACACACGAGGCTGTAATACGCAGTGGACGTGTCTACAGTCGCACCATGGCCAGTTCAGCGCTCAAACTCACCGCGCTTTTTCACGGTCATCCACCTGTAGCCTATCAACGAGGGGGTCATGCGTGATTTTTTTGCCATATGCCAGCCCACACACTGAATTTGTCTAGACTTAAAAGCTGGACCCGGAACTTTTGGTGTGAGGGAGTTAGATCTCACCCCTAACCTTGGTACGCCAGTGCTCCTTTCCATTGTTGAAGAGATCTGACAAATCTTCACTTGTGCACGTTAGAGGTCGTCTTGACAAAAAATTGAATTCATTCCAATTCTCTTCAGTCTTGAAAGATTTTAGATTTCATTTACAGTTATTTTCAATTTATTAATTTGGTGTGCATTTCTGCTCAATCACTTGTTTTCTCGTAGCCAGCCATTTGGGGAGGGGGATAAAACCTTGCCACCACTTTGCTTGCAGAGTTGAGTTTTGAGGGCAGACCGTGAACCCCCAAAGGAAACTATCTAAACCAAAAAGAGGTTCTATAGGATGCGCAAAAGGGATTCTGTCTGATGATTTTTTCCTGGGGACCACAATCAAAATTTAATGTAGAATCATCTCTACTTTCGTACACAAAACAGGCCTAGCAATCTTTGGCAGCGATTGTTGTCTATTGTCGGGCAGTGTTCCTAAATGATCTGACCTAATACGCTAAGAACGGCAGGTTGATTGATTTATGTTTCTAACAACAGCCTTTCAGCTTGACAGCATAGCCTTCAATATTTTTTTGGGGGGGGGGGTAAGTGGTAAGGTCCAATGTATTGCTTTCCCCACAAATAATACGTTGATACCGATATAGTTAAAAATACAATCTCTGGCCAGATTTCATCTTTTATAATTTCCATAGTTCTGTTTTCATTTTTTAATTGATTCTCCAAGCTGGGGAGGGGGCGAACCCAACCTACCCCGGATGTATTAGCCATAAAACATCCGGGCAGTGTTACCTGACACATGGAGGAGGAATGTTCTGTACAATTGCCTGCTTTGTACAAAAAACAGACCTGCTTTATAGTAAAATAACAAGGCGCGGCCCACCACGTTATCCGCAGAGAACCCACGGGGGACATTATTTCCACGTAGGTCTGTGGTTACCATGGCCTCGGATATCAGGGGTCTATCTTAGCTTTTAATTAAATGATAAATCTTTCCTGCGAACAATTTATCTTCTTTCGTGCACAGGCGTTTTGATCTGGTTTAGACAAGTGGAACTGATGACACAGTTCTTCTCATGCACAAAATATGTAGGTAGGATTTGATAACTTAGACCAGGGTTTGCAAACGGGAACAAACTAGAAAACGCGAATTGCGGAAAAGCACGGTGGATTTTTTGAGCGGCAACAAACATGGACAGTAAAGTCGTGTGTAAGTGTCCTAAATGTGGCCCGGGCAAGTTTGTCTCTGAAAGAACCTTCAATCAGCATGGCAAGGAATGGAGAGCGAAGAGGAATGACGAACATCGTGATGACCCTCGCAACTTCGACCCGAAAAACGCACCTCTTTTCACTGGCAGCGAAGTTTCTGTCTTGCAAGCCGTCACAATGCTCCTATCTGTGCATGGGCTCTTCCCTGGGGTAAGTTTATCTTCACCCATGTACTAATGCTAATAGCTAGTAATCATTGTGGCAGAGCACCGAGAACACAATCTCTACATCTTCTACCAACTCAAGCAGCGAGTGAAAACTCATACGCCCTGTGATTGCCTTTTAATCACTAGTGCAGTATGTACCCATACATGTTCTCGTGTTTAGTTAGCTTTCGTGATTCTTTTTGGGCTACCTTTGTCTGTGGTGAAATCTTAACTGTTTACCAATATGCTATCTTCTAAAGACAACCTGTAGACTTTGTTTTCTTAAACTTATAATTGTAGTAAAACTGTATGTTTTTTGTCAGTTAAGCACATTACTAAACAAACCATGAAGCTCATACTACCTGCTTCCCTAGTTATTGTAATGTATTTCCTATTTTGTAAAAATAGGAAATACAGTATGTCAAATAGGACTCACGTTAATATTGCCATATGCTTTGCATGTCGGCAAAACAAACACAAAAGTAGCACATTCACTCCATGTGGAGACCTCTAGACTTTTACATAATAAACCTAACTTTTTCAAAGCACAGCAAAAAGCTAAAGGGCCAATTTATGTACCTATAAGGGTGATTGGTTCAGTGCAAAATTAAAGGTGAATTGTGCTACAGTGGTACACCGTGCAAGGTTCGCTTGCACACAGGCAGCACGAAGGAGGTTCGGTTATGGCAGGCAGGCCTAGCAGATAATTTCTTGAAAATTCTCCAGCAGGGAGAATAACGAAAAGGCTTTCAAGGATACCACAACCACATGTTTTACTGCATTGAAGTTCAGGCCCGTTGTCTGACCAGAGACGGGGGGGAGGGGAGGGTCGTCAAACCAAAAAGTGGAACTTTTGCCATTTTTCGCTTTGAAACCGTGACCTGAAATGTGGATATTTGCCGGAACTTCCTGACGCTGACGAGAGATTAATATGCAGAATCGTGGTCACCTTGAGCTTGAGAATTGACGTATAAGCCGTGACTCTTATGTCGAATATTACGGTAGAATTAAAATATTCAGTACACACAAAAAAGACCACCAACAAGCGGAACTCAGAAGTGTCCCTATGGGCCTGAAAGTTGTAAGTAATTCTAGGCTTTAATAATGGGAAACTTGGAGTTTATTTCACGTTTTATAGTAAACTTGGAAAGATGTGCTGTTCGTTTTATCCATCGTAATGGCCAAAAAAGTGATTCACCAACCGTCTTTTTAAAACGATCATTAACGGGCATGACAAGGAGATTAATATTTAGAAGTAAAACACATGAGATATATGTGTGGGGGATTAGATCACAGGTATACTAATGCAAGCAAGAACTAACGGGAGTCTGTAGTGATCTGTCGTGCAATTTGAGGCATTTTCTGACCAATTTAACCAACTCTGTTTTTCTTGCAAACACTTCCGTAAGATTTAATTCATTTTGAATGAAACATACTCTTTCAAAGGATTTTTTGTTTCATAAATTACAAAAAGACCACGGGACAAACAGTGTTACAATCCACAGAAAGATGTTCCATTCTTGAACCCCATGCTGAGAGTGAAGCGAGCTACTCAGCGCCTTCTTAATTGTCATAAAAATTCTATTAAAGTAAAGATTAACATGTAAAGTTGGCCTAAACGGTAAAGTAGGCCTAAACATAAACATTCCTTGTGCTTTCCCTCATAGTACTGCATGGTGGCATATAAGTAGCAGCACGTAATTGTGTTGCGTGCAAGCACTCTCAATCTTTCAACCAGGTCACACAGAGGCATTCTGATTTATTTCCTTTTACTTGTAAAGTGCTTCTAGGACTCACGACTAATCATATCGTTTGCAGTGTGTCATAGAAAAATGATTCCTTGTTTCTCCTGACATGTAGGTGAGCCAAAGAGCGATAGGGGAGATATTTAGAATTTTGCACTACTTCATCCTCCCAGCTGGAAATGGTCTTCCAGACTCATTTGTTGCTGCAAAGAAGCTTGTTGGAGAATTTCTCATCCCCGTCAATACGTTTGATGTGTGCCCACAAGACCATGTGGTATTTGATGGTCCCAACAGAGAAAGACTACATTGCCCAAAGTGCTCTGCACCGAGGTACGTCCCGGGTAAACGTAAAGAATTCCATCGATTTTTATGTGTGTGTTTCATTCTGAAGTAACAAGTTTTCATTATATACCTCTTTAAGTTGGCACAATTACTCAATCGACTCGTGTAATTGAGGAGTAAAGGGTCGAAATTCAATTTGAAGTGTTGTAAGTTTTATTAAGTTCACGATTATGGATATGATGAATTAGTGGTGAACTTTAATTGAGACTAAATCACCACCATCACACCTGTTTAACTTTGCGTCTATGGTCGGTTGTAGTGTAATTTGTTACAATATTGGAAGTTCATAATTTCATTGACCTGCCATTCAAGAACTATGAGACTTTTGCAGATGACAGGTGTAATTTTTTTTTTGGGGGGGGTTGCAATGTCAACAAAGAGTTCTAGTACAATTTCTACAGCATTACATGGTTGGTTTTCGTAATGTTTCGTGAGACTTGAATAATCTGTCTCCGCTTGGTACACACATTCGTGCAACTTTCTGCAATGTATGACAAAGGAACAGAGGGACATAAAGTTCTCGTGAAAACTCATCCCTCTTTAAACAAACATTGATTCACTTATTTGAACTTCTCTAGGTATCACGATGGCACGCAAAAGCCCCAAAAGGCCTTTGCCTATTTGCCACTCATTCCCCGATTGCAACGATGGTTCAAGATGCCAGTCATTGCCAGAAGTCTTCAGCAGCATGAGCTGATAGAAGAACAAAATCCCGTGAAAGATATTCACATGTCACCTGCTTGGAAAAGCATGTATAACAAAGGTGATGCCATGTCTGTGAAAGCTTTGTGTTTGTTCTAAAATTTTTAATTATGTCTTATTTTTAATCTGTCTCAACACTGTTAACTTTGTAAAATCTCCTTTAAACCTGCCAATCTCGATGATGACTCTTTCAGCTTGTATCATTACACACACACATATGTACGGAAAATGGTCTGCATTGTGTGCTTACTATCTTTCAAGCCGCCGCACTCAATAATTGAGTCGGACTGAAGCTATTTGTGTACATTTTCTTGCATTTCTTCTTGATCAGATGGTGTTTTTGGAGGGGACAGTAGATGCCTGTCGTTGGCTTTAAGTGCAGATGGCTTCGACCCCTTTAATCATCAAAAGGTCCAATACTCGATGTGTCCTGTGCTCCTAAAATGCCTTAATTTCGATAGTACTTCCCGGGACAAAATTGGCAAGATGTTGCTTTCATGTATTGTGCCAGGTGAGCTCTTAGTCTTTTGTGTTCCTCAGGTGCATCTGCCTACAGCTATAGCACTTTGTTACCGCGCGGAGTTGACGGTGAACTATGCACTGACACCTTGGCTATGTTATGCATGGCATGTACTGTACACATTTTATGTTTATGCACACACTCTGTTTGCTCTCAACAGTCAGCAGTATCGTAACTCCTGATTTCTCCCGTCATATATCTCTACATTCGTTTGAGTTTAAATCTGAATGTTAGTGTGTACGCTCGTCAAAATAATGCAGTTGAAGGCATATCAGCACTGCAGCATTGCATTTAACATAATGATTCGAGGTGCCTAAAAGGTTCCACGGTTCAATTGTGCAGCAAAATATATAAAATTCAACGTGCCCTGTCACAACAAAATGAGAGTACAGTCACATCCCGCGTTTTCATATTTTGAGGGTTCAAAGTAAAAGTGAAGTTGGTGTCAATTGGAGGGTTTTGTAATATTAGTAACAGACTGACCTGTCGCCTATTTAATTCCAAATATTTTGCAGGATTGTATAGCTAAAGTGACAAAAATTTACTAGGCATTAGTTTCAAATTTGCATGGTTTCGAATATTGACATAGTGTCGGGAACAAAGACGCAACGCTGCCAGAATAAGGCCACGTCGTCACCTTATCATTTTGCCCAAGTGTTCCAAGTACATACTATTTAAAACCTTTGTTTCAGCCGGTCAAATAGACCAATATAAAAAACTCTGGCAACTCCGAATGGAAGCTCATTTGTGTTGACAGGTCACATATGACAAACGTTCTTCTAACTTCGTCTACCGGTATATTGTGTCTGGTTGAACACAGGACCATGTGGGCCAACGGATATCAATCCATACATGGCCCCCTTAATTGATGAACTGCAGGAGCTTGAGGAGGGGGTCCGTTGCTTTGATGGCAGCAAAGATGCAAGTTTTATACTGAGGGCAAGGGTTGTGATGGGCATCTTTGACAACCCAGGGGCATCTAAGGTGCTAAAGACTGCCGCACCAGGCTCACTCATCAATGCTTGTCGACATTGTCACATTGAAGGTGTG